TTTTCTCCCTGCCCACCCCACCTCCACCCCCCATTCACTCCTCTCCTTGATTTCCATCTTCTTTTAATACTTTCTGGATCATTTACGATTCTGCCAAAAGCATCATTGATTATAGCAACTCGAGGTTTGAATTTGTTCTTCAGTTCCTTGAGTTTAAGAATTGCTGAGCGAGTTCAGCCCTTTTGATTTTCTGACTCGAACTCCTTGCACATTTCATTGTAATATTTTACTCTGTCATCCCACACTGCCTTTTGAAATCTTCTGTTCAGCTCTTTAGTATCTTGAATTCTTCCTTGTGCTTTGGCTTCTCTGCGCTCCAGTGCAATCTTCAGAGTCTCTTCTGATATCCATTTTGGTCTTTTCTTCCTCTTCTGTCTTTGCAATGAGCATTTGCACTCTTCCTAGATGATACCCTTGATATCTTCCCACAGCTCATTTGGTCTTCACTCATTAGTGTTCAAGGCCTCAAACCTGTTCCTGAGATGTGGGGTCAGGACTGGTGGAAGATCTATCAACAATCTACATTATGCAGATGACACAACTCTGCTTGCTGAAACTGAGGAGGACCTGAAGTGCTTGCTGCAGAAGGTCAAGGACTGTAGCCTTCAGCATGGATTGAAGCTCAAATGTCAGGAAGACCATTCTCACCACTGGACAAATTGGCAGCATCAGCATGGATGGTGAAGAGATTGAGATTATTAACAGCTTTAGTTTGCTTGGCTCCACAGTCAACACTCTTGGCACTAGTAGTCAGGAAATTAAAAGACGTATCATGATGGGAAAGTCTGCTGCAATGGTGTCTCTCTGGAGAGTAAGGTGCATATGATACAGGCCATGGTCTTTCCAATCACTAGTTATGCATCGGAGAGTTGGACAATGACTAGGGAGAATAGAAGGAGAATTGATGCCTTTGAGCTGTGGTGCCGGAGAAGAATTTTGAGGGTACCATGGACTGCCAGGAAAACAAACTGATTCATCCTAGAGAGGGTTAAACCGGGTGGCTCCTTGGAGCAAGGATTCTGAGACTTCGTCTAACATACTTTGGACATGTCCTAAGGAGGGACCGGTCCTTGGAGAGTGACATCATGCTTGGGAAGGTGGAGGGATGGCGCAGGAGAGGAAAGCCCTCTAGTAGCAGGATTAATTCAGTGACTGGGGTAATCAGGATAAGTGTGTTGAAGACAGTGTGATTGGCACAGGACAGAGCAGAGTTTAGGGCTGTTGTACATAGGGTCGCTATGAGTTACAAGCAACTTGACGGCACATAACAACTACCACCAGCACCAGCGGAGCATCTGGTGGATTTAACTAGGCCACGATAGCTTCCTTATAATTAAGTTTTAAGAATTATTAAAGGGGAGGTCCGGTAGCCTAGTGGCAAGAAGCTGCACTGCAATCCCAAAGATGCACGGTTCAAATCCACCAGATGGTCTGCCGGGGAAGGAGGGACAATCCCCTCCTGTATCAGTCAGATCTGATTTGACGGTACACACAAATAGTAAAATAAAAATAATTTAAAAAAATTTTAAAAAAAGAATTATTAAAAGGTTATTAGAAATTCTTTGTTTAATTAGTTTAAACTTAACAAATTCATTGCGCAGTCATACTGACTCATAGCTGATCCTCCAGCAGGTTTTCAGGGGCTGTAAATCATACAGGAGGAAACTGCTCAGTTTTTGCCTTAGAACAGCTGACGGACTTGACTACCCCGTCTATGGGGTTGGCAGCTCAATAACGTATCCATGAGGCAACCAGACCGCAAATATATTATTTGAAAACTTGTCATAAAAAAACTCACCCTCATTGTCATCGAGTCAGAACCAATCTATCCAGTAGAATTTCAGAGGCTATAAATTACCCATCTTTCTTCCTCAGCAAAACTGGTAGATTTGAACCAACTCATTTGGGTTGGCAGCATAACACCTTATCAACTAGACTAAAGAACTCTTTAAAAACATAGGTATTTTAAATAGTACCTTTGCAAAGTTCAGTACCCTCCATTTAATAATACTACAAACCAACCTCTAACAAACTTTCTAAAGAAGTCCCAGTCAGCAAATTATAGTCAGTAACCAGGCCCTACCAAACACTGGGGAGAGAGATGCTTTATTTCTTATAGCCACTGGGTAAAGGCTATATTAATATGAAAACAGAATGGAAAGATGAAACATTATAAACTACTAAGTAGCGCATATATATATAAATAATTTATTTCATTTTAACTCAGGTCTGCTGAATTTAAGAGTCCAAGAATTTCCTACTCCAAATGTTCAGAAGTCTGATGAATAATTTAACAATAAGGAATTGTTGTTAGGCACTGTTGAGTTGCCTTGTGACTCACAGCGACCCTATGTACAACAGCCCTAAACCCTGCTCTATCCTGAGCCAACCTCATTGTCTCTGACACATCTACCCTCATTACGCCAGTCAATGAGTCAATCCATCTTATCAAGGTCTTCTTTCTTGTGCTGTCCCTCTACCCTTCCAAGCAGGATGTCCCTCTCCAAAGATACCTCCTTGCAATATGCATAAAGTATGTCAGATGAAGCTTCAAACCTTGCCTCTATGGAGCAGCCTGGTTTTGCCTTCTCTAGGTGAAATCGGTTTGTTCTCCATGCTGTCCATGGTATGTTCAGTATCCTTCACCAGCACCACCACTCAAAGGCATCAATCCTTCTTCTATAATCCTTAGTCACCATCCAATTATCTGATGCATAGCAAGTAATAGAAAGAGACTATGTGCTTGATCGGGTGTACCTTATTCTCTAGACTGGTATCGTTGCTCTTCCGTACCTTGGGGAGGTCCCTGAGAACTGATTTTCCCAATGCAATTAATCATTTGATTTCCTAGCTGCTGGTATCAAGAGTGTTGATTGTGGAGCCAACAAGCTTAAGCTGTTAACAATCTCAATGTCTTCACCATCTATCATGATGCTACCAATTGACCCAGTGGTGAGAATCTTTGTTTTCTTGAAGTTGATCTTCAATCCATAGTGAAGCCTGCAGTCCTTGACCTTCTCCAGCAAATGCCTCATGTCCTCTTCAGTTCTGCCAAGCAAGGTGGTGTCATCTGCATAATGAAGGTTGTTGCTGAGTCTTCCTGAAATCCTGCTTTATCTATTTATTTATAAATAGTATATGCTTTATTTATAGTTATATTTATAGTACAATGTATTTTATAATATTTATAGTATAAATTTGTTGTAATTCTATGTAATTTTATAATTATAAATATTGTCATATTTATACATATTATATGCTTTATAGATTACAAGAATAGTAATAATATGTGGATGCTATGAGTACTGCCAGAACACATAAAAGGGTAGCACAGGGAAGAAAATTCAAAATCTAAAATCTGAGTAACAACACTACCAGTAAGAGGTATGAACTACTGTATTATTAAGAGTTTGTTAAATTACGTTACTACCTCATTATAGTAAGGAGATTAAATTACCCCTTAAATATTTATTAATGTATTGCTCAATTTTAGAACTGTGCAATATATTTGGCAATGATTTTCCTGTTACCTTTATAAAACTAAAGGTGGAAAGAAAATGCAAAAAATTAAGGTTGGCATCGGCCTCATTTTTTTTGGAGAAAAACAACCCAAAACAAAATATTGACTTACTTTCCTCCTCCACTATTCAAAGCCGGGGTAGGCCTAGTAAGCAGGTCTGAAATTTGAGAGGAGAGCTTTGTCTTTGCTGCTGTTTGCTGTTGTACTCTTACTTCAGCTGCATCTGCCAAGTGCATCAAAGTCTTTCTTTCTGGGCTTTCTTCAAAATTCTTACAACCAATACATTTGCATATTGAGGAACACATTATCTTTGCCTACAAGATTTACAAGAGAAAGATTTCCAAATCAAAACACATCATCAGACAATAAATTTAACTGGTTAACCAGTTCAAACAACTGCTTATTTATATACGTATGTTTGTATTCAAATATCCAGATTTCACTGAATGAATGTTCTGTATCATATCCATTAAAAGCACAATTTTGTCTTTTTGACTTAGTTTAATATTTCCTTTTATTTTATTATTTTCATTTACAAAAGAAATATATTTTTTTTTCTACAGGCTAATTTTAAATGTTAATGACATGTTTTCAATGATATGTCCTATAGAAGCTACATATTTAATCTGGTGTTCAAACAGAAGAAATAGTCATCTATGATAATACTGGATGAAAATGCCAATAGTGATGTGGACTATGAGAAATTAAAAAATGATCTAACATGCCACATTTTCAATGGTGAGATCATTGGGCTGCAGATTTATATGCTTTTTACCAGGAGTATGTGCAGCGTTTTCTGAGTTACTTCACCAAAGTGAGGCCTTCTGCCCAAAACAAAAAACAAGATCCCTCTCTGCAAATGAAATTTGAAAGAGTAGAAAGAGAATGAATGAATGAAAATAGATGAGGACAGTCAACTGTAGTAATGACCCAACTCAAAAGACTGTTAATGCATAAAGAGTTTCAGAAAAACCCAGAAACAACTATGGCATCCTAAAACTAATCTCAAACATAGCTAGACTACTGTATTTAAGTTTTTAAAAGAAAAATAATCAATGTTATAATATCTGGTCTGAAACAACACAAGGATGACACTCAAGGCATCTATCAAGGACTAATTTCAACTTCAATTGTCAGAAAAGATGCCCTAACATATCCTTAAAAATGATCAGTCTGATGCACATCCATGTTTGTTGCTGCGTTATTCACATACCAAAGAGATGGAAGCAATCCAAGTGCCCATCAGCAAACAAATGGAAACAAAAACTACAGTACATTTTATTTTTTTTTTAAAAAAAGGAATATTATGTGGCACTGAAAAACAATGAACTTATAAAACATTATACAATGTGGGGAAGTCTAGAGGACATTATGCTGACTGAAACAGTCATAAAAGGACAAACACTGCAAAACACTACCATTATAAAATAGGACAAACATGGGGAGGAGATGGAGAGAGAATGGGAAAAGAGTAGCTAAATAATGAACACTGCATTAGAACAGATGAGGGGAAGAACTGGAATATATGATTAGGCATTACATGTATGACAACAATCTAGAACAAGGAGTATATTGTGGGGTACAAAGAAAATGTTCAATAATGAGGGAGAAGAAAACTATTTAAAAAAAAAAAAAAAAGGTCAGTCGAGGATGATGGTGAAAATATACACAATCACCTCATAGTGGCCAATAGTCACAGTCAGCAATAGTCCATATTTCTTCTTTTAGATTTTTTTTTTTGCTCACAATGCAATCATCTTAACATAATTTGATGTCCAAGAGAGCAATTACTCCTCAACAAGGAGCTATTATCAAATTAAACTGGAACAAGAAAACTCTTTAACTTTTCCAGGACTGCTCCTGGAATCCAAAGTATTATTATATTCATGAATACTTTAAAAAACTCCAGAGACAGAAAGACAGTACCACTGCAAATGTCAATTCACTTTAATGATTGTTAGTGTGTGTGTGTTTAATTAGTAAAAATCAATAAATACATGTTTAATTTGTATACATCCAGGTATAATGACAAGAAGTTACAAACTGGTAAATGATATAAGACCTCAAGCTGTGGTGGCAGGACTTTTAAATACTATTTGTGAGGCCAGAAAACCTTTTCAAGTAAATTTATCGAGACATGCTTTCACTAAAGTTAGTTTAAAAACATGGATAGATTATTCTACCCAAACAGTATCTCACCTCATAGCATTCACAGTAGTTCTTCAGACATCCTGATCGTTTGCAATTACATCCTTTGCTATGACGTCGATCTGATTCCCCTTCCTTTCCTTTACCTATTTTAGGCTTAAAAGCTTCTGGATTTCTGTCAAGACAAGCCTAAAAAAGATATCAAATACCAATGGGAGTTAAATCCAACTGATTAAATTTAAGCACAGCAAAGGGAATTACATTTTTTTTTAACTGACATAATTATGTTTTTCAAACGACAGGTGAAATTAGTAATATCTCTCAGTTAAAGTAACACAAAAAGTAATTACCTTTATAGCTTTTTGCCTTTCATTTTCATGTTCCAAATTATTGTAACAATTAGTGCAATTGCAATTGTTGCAAAATTCACCATTTGCAAAGCAATCACAGTATCTGCAACATAAAAATCAGTGTAAGGTAAAGAGTCTTGGGTTAGTACAATTAAACACAGAAACTGATCTGTTGTTCTTTTTTTTTGTTGTTCTTATATACCACAGACTCGGAATCAGATTATGTGTGTCTTGGCAGTCAATTCTTACCACACCTTACCAACTGCCTATTTATTATATATATAATACTATATAATGAGAATCTGGAGAACAAGCACTTGGCCAACTGACTGG